TGATAACTCGCCCCCCCCCAGCCCAACCAAGCACCAACCAATACCTCCTCTAACCCCACAGTCCACTAGCCCTTCTGGGTAACTCTCAGTTACATCCTGGGCATGACATGCTGTGGTATGGAATACCTCTTTGGTCAGTTTGGGTCAGGTGTCCTGTCTCTGCTTCCTCCCAGCTTCCCTCCTCCCTGGCAGAGCATGAGGCTCACAAAGTCCTTGGCCAAACCAAAACATCATTGTTTACAGCTCTGTTCCCAGGTCAAAAGTCAAAACACAGCACTGCACCAGTTACCAAGAAAGAGAAAAATGACTGCTACTGCTAAACCCAGGACAAATAGCTAGTGACTAGTATGATATTCAGAAATAAGACACATGAAGACCAGAATTATAAACAGGAAATGAAAGGAAGACAAAGTACAAAAAGCATACAAAGATGAGGAAAGAAAAAAAAGAAAAAAGTATATAAAAGGAAAAATGGGTATTATTTATAAAAATACAACAATAGAAAAGAATTTTAAGTGAAAATGAAAAACCAAAAAATACCAAAACATTCTGTATTTATAATGTACATCTTGAGTAACTGTAGCATCTATTTATATACATAAATACATAATAGCAACAGTCTACAGTATCTCATAAAATAGATCCACTGGTGAGAAACGTTAGAGCTAACTGTTTGTCTCTGAGAAGCAACTTATTCCACTTCGTCCAGTATTTAAAAGCATGATAATGCTTGAGAAAGACTGAACAGAAATGTGGTACGTTTGTTGTTCATTCCACATAGCTATTAAGATCAAAATCTTCATTACAAGCAAATGAGAAGGTGAAACAGGTGAAGGTAACTCTCAGTTACATCCTGGGCATGATGTGCTATGGTGTGGAATACCTCTTTGGTCAGTTTGGGTCAGGTGTCCTGTCTCTGCTTCCTCCTGCCTTTCCCTCCTCCCTGGCAGAGCATGAGGCTCACAAAGTCCTTGGTCAGTCTAAACATTTGAGCAGTAACTTAAAACACTGGCGTTATCAGTGTTGTTCCCCGGCCAAAAGTCAAAAAACACAGCACTGCACCAGCTACTAAGAAGGAGAAAAATGACTGCTACTGCTGAACCCAGGACAAGCGAAAAATAAGACTTTAGCATAAGGTATTTTCAGGTAATACTTTTTTCCTACGTTATTTAAATAATGGGGATATATTCTGGATGAAACAAATATTAACCCATTTAACTAATGTTATTTTGTTTTCATCTTTTAATCTATTTTCTTATATTAAGTACTAATTTTCTTTTATGAACTTCAGAAATCCCCTCTCAATTTTTTTCCAAGACAACATGTAACATTATCCTTTGTGCTATCAAGTTTCTTATAAATGCAAAATTCTGAATTTGGAAACCTGTTTTTTCAAACTCATTCATGGAAACTGCTATAAAATCTCAAGAGAGCTAAACCTGTATTTTCTGTTACACAGAGAAAATTACAACTGTGGATATTCCTATATTGTATTTCACCAGAAAATGTCTACATTTTTAGTAGGGCTGAAGTAATGAGCTACTTAATGACATATAGTTTAAGTCATCTTGGTTTCTTGACCAGAAACTCTCAATACCCCTGCCACCACACAAGCAAATTTATACCACAAGTGAAAACTTATACTTCCAAAGATAAACTTTCATCTCTCTTGTAGTAAACCTAATGCAGTATATCAAGATGTTTTAATAACCATACATCTCTTCATTTTCAATAGCTTTTGCATATTATACAAAATATTTTCTATTAAATGCAGATTTGGTTGGTATTTTCAAGAAAGGAAGGACTATCTACTGACAAGCTTAAAGAAATTTGAAACAAAAGGAAAATTAAAATCCTTTATATTGGCTTTAGCTTTTCTAGCTATGATTGGCAAATGCAAGGCTGATGACATTAGATTTTTAATTTAAGTTTAAAATAATGCATCAAAGTATTACTGCTCACAGCAGAAGCAAACCACAATGGTAGGACAACCACCTAATGTAGTTAGGTATCAGCAGTATTACTGCTCACAGCAGAAGCAAACCACAATGGTAGGACAACCACCTAATGTAGTTCCCATGCTAGCGCTGCACTCAGGTTTTGGTAGATTTTATGGAACAACACTTCACAGCTGGTCTGTGGACTTGGAAAGCAAAATAGCTATGGCATGGCAGGGCTCTTCCCAGTACCTCACTGAAAAAATTAGGAATCAATTCATGGCACAGCTGAACTCAGTAGGAGTTCTGCCATTGGACTGAACATGGTCAGAATCTCATCCTCAAAAGTTACAAAACATCCATATGTTCACTCACATCATAGCAAATCTGTAAACAGGCTACTGAAATCAAATTACGTTTCAACTTAATTATTCGCAGTGCTGATATTAGTACATGAAATCATCATTTCTGGACCCATATTATTACTATTAAATTTGCTGCATCACCAAGTTTCTTCATTTGTTGCCACAAGTTTATCATTGCCAAGAGCAAATCTTAATAGCCATTAACATTTAGGTACCCAAAAAAAGTAAACTATGGTTAGATTCACAGAGTGTATTTTTTCCAGAATACATACACAACCCCATTTTTAACAGACTAGTTTTCAAAAGAAAGCAACTCACTAGCCAACATGAAGAGATAAAGATATGTTTCAGATACCTGGATCCCAAACCTTATGAACCATGCTTATGACAAAGACAGATAGTGGTTTCTGTGCCCAGTCCATCATTCCAAGTTCTGCTGCTTGCAATCCACTGCTGTTACAATTCTGCCACTGTAGACCTTTTCCAACTGCAGGGATCAACTTTTATAATCCAGTTTCTTCATGGTCAGAACACCTCATATAAATGACATCATCCCCAGCTTGAAAATTCAATCACATGCGCACATTCCTTCCACATGCTCACATTTTCAAAAACCTGTTCTTCCCACACAAATAGTTTTAAACTCCATCATTTGATTTGTGCTCACAGATTTAAGCAATAGGGAAAAAGGGCTGATTGTGACTTGCTTTAACATCAGAGCAAGTGTTGTTTCTTCATGTTTCTAAAAACTACTGTCAAAATCCAAAGTTTTAAAACCACAATGGAACAAGATCATTTACACTGAGATCAACAGATAAAAAGGTTTTGGAGATCACAATTACTTTGAATAATAATCTCCCTTAACTATACGAATTTAATATGTTTGGATAGAAGCCTGAAGTCTTCTGTTTCAGGTATGTAACAAAACAAAAATTGGCCCGATGCAGCAAACTGAAGGAGTTAGGTTTGCCAATCAATTTCTCTGAGATAGCCAGCAAATTACAAGAAACAAAACTGGGTTAATAGGACTGTATTTCCTCAGTTCAATTCAGCATAAAGAAAGCACAGCAGTCAAACATTCTCTATTTTATTCCATGCAACTATCAAAACACAGTGTCCTAACAGAAGCATAAAAACAAATCATCAAATTCTTCAAACACCATTCAAAGCAAGCTCTCTCTAGCTGTGTTCTTAAGCCTTAACTGGCATTTCAAATTGACAATTGCATACAAAACACTCCAGTATAACAAGTCATTGCCAATCTACTAATCCACTGGTGACCTATGTAAGATGTGACTATAAAGTATCTTTTAACAGCGAGATCTACTGGTATATTAAAAACTAGTTCAGTTAGTGAAGTTGGTCATTTTCAGATTCTCTCAGTTCCACACTAACATTTGAATATGTTTCCTCTTTACATGTATAACAAAGATATCCACGAGAGCATTAACACTTGTGCCAGATGCCGTCACCTACCTCCTTTACCCAAAAATATTTACACCATAGTACATGAAACACACTTGGCTGTTCTCAGTGTATTCACAGAGTAATTCTCTACCAGTCACCATATCAGGGCAAGAGCCCTATGTCCAGATTCTTGTTCACTCAAAACTAGTGGCTATTACAGTCTATATGTCCTTGCTCTGTATGAACAACATGCATATGTCCAGATTCTTCTTTTTCCTTAAAACTAGTATTATGCCTACTATATTCCATATTGTCATGACTTAAGCCCAGCTGGTAATTCCGTACCACACAGCCGTTCGCTCACTCGCCCCCCCCCCCCCTTCCTCCCCCCGCTCCCGGAGGGATGGGGAAGAGAATCAAAGGAATGTAACTCCCATGGGCTGAAAATATAAGAACAGTCCAGTAACTAAAGTATAACACAAAACCACTACTGCTACCACCAACAATAATAATGATAAGGGTAATAATTCCACTGAGCAACAACTAAAAACATTGGTGTTATCAGCGCTGTTCCCAGGCTGAAAGCCAAAACCACAGCACTGCACCAGCTACTAAGAAGGAGAAAAATGACCTCTACTGCTGAACCCAGGACACATATACAAAACATATTTCATTCCTTTTAAATTGTCAAAAATGCATCTTCAATATAAGTAATATCTGCTTATTACTACATAATAGCTTTAATAAGCAAAAGACCTATGCACACCGGAGCAGACCGAAGTACATTAATTATGCATTTGTTATGAATCCACAGACTTTATGAAGCTTAATCTCTCCTTTAGTATGAATTGCAAATTTCTTCTATTTCAGTGTAAGCAAGTCTTCTAAAATAATACACAAAAAATGTGAAGTAAAAACCTAAGAGTCAAGACCATACTGCTTTGGACACATTAACAATATTTAAATTTGGATAATTTGTTTCATTATTTGTTCCATTATCTGAGAAAGTAATATTTATCTGATTTTTACTACACTTGATGTGCTCACAGCTGGTAGACGCAAAGAAATCTGAATTCAGATTTCAAGACTGAAGAATTTCTGGTGAACATCCACAACAAACCAGATTAAACCAGCCCATTAGGAATCCTTCATAAACAAAAGCTAACAAAGCATCTGTCTGGTAACAACAGTACATACCCCTTTCTTATAAAACCTAGTTTAACTGCAAGCAGCAGATAGCTTCTGACTCATCAACACAGGATAAACTCAAAAGTTTCAGTATCATACTCACAGCGAATTCCGTAAATCATGAGAGGATCAAGTTGCTTCTTCCCATGCTTCCCCTGGCCTGAAAGGTTGGAAATGGCCTGAATTTCCCGATGGAAGAGATAATCAAGCAATGTCAGTGCCATCTTCTCAGCTGTGCGGCAGTTCGTGCTGATGTGCAGCATGTCAGCTGGCGTGATGAGGCAACGGACCCGCATCTCAGGGTTATTTTCATCTCCAAGCCATGTCCCATTGGGGTAATCCTCTAAAAAGAGAGATTGTGCAAATTCTAATACAGCACAGAATGAAACAGGTTTCAGTTACAGTCAGCATTTCTTAAGCCATCATGAGCTCTTCCAGTTTTCTTCATAGTCTCTGTAAACATCCTAAAAATTTAGCATAACTAATAGGCTCACAAGATTTGCTACAGATAAAAAGTTACTCTCAAATGGTCTCAATGGTGACCAAAGTTATTGCCATTAATGTTCTAGGCTACATGGGGAACTGGTGCAATTAGTACAGATATCTAACTCGCTCTCAAATTCCTTTTAGTGTCTTATACTTGATGCCAACAGCTGAAAGAACACACTATACTCACAGTGTTCTCATTCATCAAGTTAGTCAACCCCTAAAAATGAAGATTACTGCAACTCCATAAAGTACAGCTAACTTCAAGAATCTAGCATCTTTGAACTGCATTTTCCCCCAGAAGCATCAGATTAAAATAAGTCTAAGCAAGGTGATAAATTTAAAAATTTAAATGATAAGCAATAGTGAGCAGTAACTTATTTAATCACTTAAAAATAGTATTTCAAGCAATCATTCAAAATTGGCAGAGTTCCCAATCAAAACTGGTCTTTCTTCAAATTTACTAGTCAATAGTTTATATTATCTATATAATAATCTGCCAAGTGCATCTTCTTTCAAGCACATGGTTATTAGCAGCAGAACTATTCCCAAATTATCTTGTTCATACACACACATTTATATACAAGAACTTTTTTTTATTTCTGTCCCCCCAGCCTTTCAGTTTGGCCTATTCTTTTTAAGAGGAATACTAAGCCCTCACTTGAAATTAATCCTTGCAGGTAATGAGAAAAGTCGGTGCCTTCCAGACTACTAAGAAAGCAGAACTGAGCTCATAAGGATGATCAATCCCTACTGAAGCAACACAGCAACACAGGACCTGGGATGAGACTCATTCCAGATTTAAAAAATTTCCACTACAAGTCTTGACAATGCTAACAGAAGCTGGATGGAACTAGATAGGACATTCCAGTCCTATTTCAAAGCTCACTGACACAGATCATTTGGATTTGATTTCTATGTTTGCTTAAATTTGTGGAGTAAAACAAAGCTTCCTGACTTAGAAGTCACTCATCCTGCCCATACTAGAGCTTTATCATGCTTCATTGTTCTTATACACACCTTCAGAAGGGTAAAAATGTGAAGAAGTCATTCAATTACATGGTTTATCTTTCAATAAATTCCTTTAGAATTTTACCATATATATAAAGTCACAAATCCTCAAATCATAGAACAGTTACGGTTGGAAAGGACTTTAAGATCATCAAGTTCCAACTCCCCTGCCATAGGCAGGGACATCTCACACTAAACCATGTCACACAAGGCTCTGTCCAACCAAGCCTTGAACACCGCCAGGGATGGAACATTCACAACTTCCTTGGGCAACCCATTCCAGTGCCTCACCACTCTCACAATAAAGAGCTTCCTCCCTATATCCAATCTAAACTTCCCCTGTTTCAGTTCTAACATATTACTTCTTGTCCTATCACTGCATTTGGTATTCTTACTGCTATGCAGGAACAGAATCAGTCTCAAGATGCTGAGGCTGACAAGTTCTTCTGACAAATTAGGAAACTTTGAAAGTATTTTCACATGTTTTTCTGGGAATCAAACATGTCAAGATTAGGGTGTGTGGGTTTTTGTGCCCCCCCCCAACTTACCCTTTAAAAAAAAAAACCAAACCAAAACCACAAAACCACAAACTCATAGCCTACAAAAATAAACCACATTTCTAGAAAATCAAGAACTATTTTGGCTGATGTGTAGAAGATTACAAATAACCTTCTTAAACTTTTGACAATTAGTCCAAATCCTTCACCTGTGCAAACGTACACAGCTCACAGGGATAGTGATTAGCTGACCAAGACTACAGAGCACTGACTTCATTAAGGCCTGGGTTCAGCTGCAACTTAATTCTTTCCTTCTTAGTAGCTGGTGCAGTGCTGTGTTTTCAACTTTAGTCAAAGAACAATGCTGATAACACACCAATGTTTTAGCTGTAATGCTTACCCAATCAAGGACATTTCAAGCTCATGCTCTGCCAGTTAGGAAAGGCACAAGAACTGGGAGGAAGCAGAGACAGGACACCTGACCCAAACTAGCCAAAGGGGTATTCCATACTATAGCACTTCATACCCAGTAGATAAACTGGGGGGAGTTACCCAGAAGGGCCAGATATGTGCTTGGGTGGGTCTGAGTATCAGTCAGTAGGTGGTGAGCAACTGCACTGTGTATCATTTGTGTTTATTGTTTTGGGTTTTTTTTTTCCCCTTCCCTTTTAATTTTATATTGTCTCCCCTTGTTATTTCCCTAATTGTTATTATTAGCAGTAGCAGTAGTAGTTTTGTATTATAATTTAGTTATTGGACTGTTCTTATCTCACCCCATCGGATTTACATTCTTTCACCTTTCCTCTCCATCCCTCCAGGAGTAGGGGGGAGGGGTGAAGAAGAAAGGGGGTAGTGAGCAAGCAGCTGCATGGCTCCAAGTTACCAACTGGGCTTACACCAGGACAGACATCTTTTTAAATAAACTTCTGTCAGTTAGCCCAACTCCTTTGTCCCTACAAACCATACACAGCTCACAAGAGTAGTGACCAAGACTACAGCACACTGACTTCATTAGCTGACAATCATCATAATTGTCCATATAGCACAAAGGATTTGGTTAACAGAGACGCAGCTGCAATTAACTTCTAAGCCCCTAAGGTTAGGGGACTGTCACACTATCCAAGATACTGTGAAAATATATCCTGCACTCATGGTTTCTTCAGTTGTTTAACAGACAACACATACGGCAAGAAAACATACATGGGCACACAACAACAAAGCATACTTGTCTGTGTTCATAAAAGTTTCAACATCAGCAAGATTATATATTTGTTAAAAATAAGGCCGCTATATTTGTTAAAAATAAGCTTTAATATGTGGTTAAATCCATGAGATGAAGAGGAGATAACACTTCCTTTATGACTCATAGAAGGCCAGGGAATTTATTCAACATAAGTAGATAATGAGGACTATGCAATCATCTGTAACTTAAAACAATCAGAAAAAAAAATCCAAATGAAATTGAGAAAATTGAAATATGTGGCCTTAAAAAGCTTTTAAAGCTCTTAGAAAAGGTGTTTCGTGTCAGAAAAGGAACATATTTCTAATTTCTCACTGACTTTATCTGGTCATAGGGAACTTGGCAGGAAAAGCAAAATGCTGCAAATGAGCATATAACATTTGAGATTTGATCTTACAGTGAACTGGAAAATCCTGTGGATGGATAAGTCTGGGCCCCATACAAATAGCTCCTTGGATTCACGTTTGGAAAGCAAATTCTGAGCACTATTTAAAAGTACTACTGTAAAATGACCCTTCCAGACATGAAATTCAAGAGACAGTGTGTGACTACATTTTCTTTGGAAAAATATTCATCCTTTAACACACCATGTAGACCAGTTTTCCCTTATCTTCTAAAAAAAAAAAACCACAAAAAAAAACACAAACCCCAAAAAAACACCAACAACAAAAAAAAACAAACAAAAAATCAAACGTTTACATTCCTAATTCTGTATTTTTAGTCTTAAAATGCAGTGAAAGGAATGCAGAGAAGACAGATATGACACAAAACTATCCTAATTGTCTCCAACATTATATGTCAGTGTATCAAGTGCAAAGTTCACTGAACCAGTTCCAAGTCAGTGGATCTTGCCATTTTATTTGTATCACTTAAAACCAGGTTTTATGGAGCTGTGTTCAAAAGCATTTAACATACATGGGAGAGACTAAGGACTGTGTTTGTTTCTTCATAGCTTCATAGTCTCGGCTTTGGCATAGACATTTTAAAAAATATCTGCCTTTAAAGCAACATAGTAATGCTCAATGGGATATTTTTATACCCTGAAATGAGGACTTTTTTTTTTTCTTCCATACTGAAAATAGGACAGTAACTACTGTGAAACTTTAAAAGGATAGCATAATGTGCATTAATGTTTTAGGAACAGATGCTCCTCTTGCTTGTACAATAAATCACAGAATATTTTAAATGCTACCATATACTGAAGATGTTTAAGAACAGCATTTTTATAATATTTCTTACATTTTGAAGCCTCTTGTATCTTGAAAGCAATATCTAATATTAAGAAAAATAATGCTCTCATCAGATCTCCTAGAGAAACATGCAAGAACAGAATAATCACAGTATCTTTGATAGCTTATTCATTAGCTGAACTGTAAGTATTCAACATTTAAGTTTTGTTGAGCTAATCTGAAGCAGTTACTTAAGCTAATATTTTTCCTATACATAAGCTGCATTAAAAAAAAAAAAAAAGGCAAATTCTGGTTTTACCCATATTCTAATGTGAAATTTTGAAGAGCAAGTTCTTGCAATGTTTTACAAAACGAAAGTCAAAACCTCAGAGGAAATGCAAAACTGCCAGATCACAGCAAAACTAGTCTATAAAAAAGATTATTAAATATATTTGGATGTTATCTATTTTTGCTTTCTGCTGTTTGCACACATCTCTTGGTAAAACAGTACTTAATGTAAAATTCTGAAACTCCTATTTAGTGCAAGATCCAGATTTAGCAGAAAGAGTTCTTTATGAGCCAAGTGTGATCTTTTCTACATGAATTCCAAGCAGTTTACCTAACAAATGAGAAAATACGAGTAAGCAACAGCCACAGTTTTTGACTGTTTCCCATAAATCCAAGAGTGTAGCTGTCATAGTTTAAACCCAGCCACACAGCTTGTTCACTCACTCCCCCTCTTCTTGCCCTCCCCCTCCCTTGCCCTCCGGAGGGATGGGGAGGAGAATCAAAAGAATGCAACAGGCTGAGATAAGAACAGTTTAGTAAACTAAGATAATAACACAAATCACTACTACTACCACCAATAATAATAACGATAAAGGAAATTACAAGGGAAGAGAATATAACACCTCACCACCCACCGACCAATAACTCGCCC